GGGCACATGCCCGGGTTGTGTGGACTACAGACATAGAGCCTGGTGGGCTGTTACTGGATTCATGACATCATCCCCAAGACATGGACTTCTGGAAATCCATCCATCCATTCATCCATCCATCCATTCATTCATTCATTCAATACATATGCAGAGAGCACCTACTATCTTCCAGGAAATGTTCTAGGCAGTGGGGGACACAGCAGGAGCAAGTCAGGCATGCTTCCTGCTCAGAGAGCTGTCATGTCCGTGGGAGGTGTGTCAGTCAGCTGATGCTGCGTAACAAACCAGCCCAAGTGTGGCTTCCAATGCAGACTCTCTCTTTTCTCTTTCTCACAGTCCACAGGGGTGGACTGGGTCCCGTGTTCTCCCCACGTGGTGTCACACGTCTGAGGTCTCTCACACAGCTGCTTGTGTTTTATTTATGTCTTTATTTTTGTTCATCCTCACCCCAGGATATTTTTCCCATTGATGTTTAGAGAGAGTAGGAAGGAAGGAGGGGGAGGAGAGAGAAAGAGAGAGACACGTCGATGTGAGAGTGACACATCCATCCGTTGCCTCCTACACACACCCCAGTGGGGCCGGGCACTGCCCTCGACAGAATCAAACCGGAGGCCCCCCGGTGCAGAGGCTGACGCTCTGGCCACCAGCACGTGGTGCCGTCTGCGCTCTCCTGTGCCGCCCCTTTACCGGGGAGCCGAGCTGGGCCGCATCCGTGGGGCCTTTCTCCCGAAGGACAGGCTGGGCCTCCTCACCGCATGGCATGGCAGCAGGGGTCCCGGGAACTGTGTTCCAGTTCCAGGAAACGGGGACCGTGTCTGTGCAGGGCCTTGTCTGTGCAGGGCCTTGTGTAGGGCCTCGGCGGCACCCGTGTTGGCTGCTAAGAGACCTCCCTGCTGAGCCCAGGGCCTTCTGCAGCAGGACTGGCTGCTTCCCAGGTGGGGGAGGGGGGAGGGAGGAGACCACCCCCTCACCCACAGCCCCCCACCCCCCCGGCTTCCCTGTGGCACGGCCAGGACTCGAACCCGGGCCCGCGACACCCCGCAGGCCCCTGCACTGCCCTGCTGCCCACTCCCCTGCCGCTGCCTCCACGGAGGGCGGCCACGCAGGCTGAGGCAGACGCTCGGAGCCGGGCAGTTCCAGTCCGGGACCAGCGAAGAAAGGAGGTGACGCAATGTAATTAAACGAGGCAAACAGCGAGCGGCTTCCCGGCAGCTGACGAATCTGGGTCTTATCTTCCCTCCCCGGAGCAGATGGCGGACACTGTGCAGACTGACTGGGCTGGGGAGGCCGGCCTCATCCCGGTCCCTCCTCAGTGATGTTGTTGACGACCTTCTTTAAAAAACACCGACCAGCTGAAACCGGTTTGGCTCAGTGGATAGAGCCTGCCAACTCAAGGATCCCAGGTTCAATTCCCATCAAGGGCATGTACATTGGTTGCGGGCACATCCCCAGTAGGGGGTGTGCAGGAGGCAGCTGATCGATGTTTCTCTCTCATTGATGTTTCTAACTCTCTATCCCTCCCCCTTCCTCTCTGTAAAAAATCAATAAAATATATTTAAATATATTTTTAGGACAGTCATCCTGTTACGCAATCACCGCCACGGTCGGATTTCCCTCGCCGCCAAGAGAAGCCCTGCGTCCATCCCAGTCCCTCCCTCTTCCACTCGCCGCCAGCCCAATCCCTTCTCCTTCTCCGGAGAGTTCGTGCCCCGGGCAGGTATGTGAGTGATCACACGTGTGTGTCACGCAGCCCTGGTCTGGCCTCCCGCCCTTCACACGGCGTTGTCAGGGTCCGTCCCTGTTTGTCGCACCAGCCGGTCCTTCGTCCCCTCTGGTGGCCGACTACCCAACAGACTTTGGCAAAGTTACAAGTGACTATAGACACGGAGTGGCCAGATTATTGTGATCTCTGAACGCATAATAACCTGGCCACTCAGAGTGTGTGTGTGCGTGTGCGCGTGCTAGAGGCCCAGTGCACTGTGGGGGATGACCCTCGGCCAGCCTGCACCCTCTCCAATCTGGGTCCCCTCAAGGGAAGCTCAACTGCCCATTTAGACCGATCCCACCGGGCAGTCGGACATCCCCCTCACAGTCCAGGACTGCCGGCTCCCAGCTGCTCACCTGCCTGCCTTCCTGATCGCCCCTAACTGCTTCTGCCTGCCAGCCTGATCACCCCCTAACCACTCCCCTGCCAGCCTGATTGATGCCTAACTGCTCCCCTGCCAGCCTGTTTGCCCGCAACTGCCCCCCTCTGCTGGGCTGGTCACCCCTAACTGCCCACCCTGCCAGCCTGATCATCCCCACCTGCCCCCCCTCAACTGCCCCCTGCTGGCCTTGTCACCTCTCATGCTCCCCCCCCCCCCCCCCCCCGCGCCAGTCTGGTCAAACTCCTGGTCAAGGGGACAATTTGCATATTAACCTTTTATTATATAGGATATGCACTGAGTGGCCAGATTATTATACGTTCAGAAATCAATAATCTGGCCACTCCGTGTGTGTTTATATACTTTAAAAATATTTTTATTGACTTTCAAAGAAGAAGGGAGAAGGAGAGCAAGATAAAAACATCAATGATGAGGGAACCTCTCTCCCTCTCTCTTCCTCTCCCTCTCTCTCTCCCTCTCCCACCCCTCCCTCTCTCTCCTCCCCCCCCCCCCCCTCTCTCTCTCTCTCTCTCTCTCGCGCGCGGTTATTTGCACCATGAGGAGGAATCTTCTGTCAGCGAATGCTGCCTTCAGCGATGTCGTGTGGCTGCCTGGCATTGCCCACGATGGGAGTAGTTACACACGGAAATTGAGGAATGCTGCCAACCAGCATTGTTCCTCCAGACAACAGCCACGAAGCGTGTGCGGGGAAGTGGGAGGCCTGGGGGGCGTTTCGGCATCACAGTGGTTGTCTGAGGCGTCACGGCATTCAGTGCCTGAGGGCTAGGACCAAAAGCTACACAATGAAGTCATCCTGCATCCCCTTTTGAACATGTGTGAGATGTTCTTTCACCTTTTCTATTTTCTACGAGAGGCCCAGTGTGCAAAGATCTGTGCCAGGATGGGCCTTCCTGCTCCTGGCTGCCAGCACCCCCTTTGCTCTGGCCTAGGGCCACCTTTGCACCTTCCTGCCCCGCCCCTGGCTGTTCAACGCCTGCATATGCAAATTGACCCACCATATTTGTTTGGCTAATTTGCATGCCCACTTCTGATTGGCTGGTGTGCATTGCAAAGGTACAGTCAATTTGCATCTTTCTTTTTTATTAGTGTAGGTTGATATGAGGGGGGGGGCATTCATTGGTTGATTCTTGTATGAGCCTGACCAGGGTTCGAACCCACAGCCTTGGCATCTGGGGACCATGCTCTAACCCAGTGGTCAGCAAACTCATTAGTCCACGGAGCCAAATATCAACCGTGCGACGATTGAAATTTCTTTTGAGAGCCACATTTTTTAAACTTAAACTTCTTCTAACGTCACTTCTTCAAAACAGACTCGCCCAGGCCGTGGTGTTTTGTGGAAGAGCCACACTCACGGGGCCAAAGAGCCACAGTGTGCCGACCACGGCTCTGAACCACTGAGCCAGGCCAGCCAGGCACCTGCCCGGCGCTCTCCTGGGCGGGAAGCCTGCTTCTCCCTCTCCGAGCGCAGAGCCTGCTCTGCACGCTGTCCGGCCCCGGGCCCTCCGTGCCGCCGGGAGCCGGAGAAGCGGGTCACTGCCCGGGAGGCTGTCCCACATTCCGGACTTGGCCGTGGCGTCCCCACGGTGTCGGTTCACCAGCAACTTTATCCTCCTGTTTTCTGAAAACGGCGATTACCCGAGAGGCCTGATGGGATTCGGGCTCCCTAAGGGGGGGCGGCGGGGGGTTCCGGACGTGTGGGTGACGCAGGGGAACTCCTGTCATGGCCCAGGGGCCATGGGGCGGCCCCCATCGGTGTGGCTCAGTGGTTAGAGCGCCAGCCCGTGGACTGAAGGGTCCCAGGTTCGATTCCGGTCAAGGGCATGTGCCTTGGTTGCGGGCACATCCCCAGTAGGTGGTGTGCAGGAGGCAGCTGATCGATGTCTCTCTCTCATTGATGTTTATAACTCTGTCCCTCTCACTTCCTCTTTGTGAAAATCAATAATATATATGTGTGTGTGTGTGTGTGTGTATATATATATGTATATATATATATATATATATATATATTTTTTTTTTTTTTTTTAAAGCAAAGGTTGCTGGGAACTCCTGGCGGTGCCCACCTCACCCCCCACCGTGCACTGTTGCCTGGGCCCCTGATGACCCATTAGCAGGCGTCTTCAAACTACGGCCCGCGGGCCACATGCGGCCCGCAGAGGAGTCTGATCCGGCCCGCCAGGTTTTTTGGGCAGTGAGCGCAGCCGAGGTGTTACAGTAGGAATTAGTAGTTCATATAGTCCGGCCCTCCAGCTCTCTGAGGGACCGTGATCTGGCCCCCACTTTAAAAAGTCTGAGGACGCCTGCATTAGGGGATGCAGAACGGTCCTTTCCTCATGCAGAAAGGGCCTTTTTTGGAATGAAGGAACCTGAGACACGCTGCTGTTTGCCCGGTGTTTTTCTGAGATTCAGGCTGCCTGGTTTCACGTGCCAGCTTCCGTGGCTTTGTGGCCTGGGGCAAGGTCCTTCCCGCCTCTGTGCCACAGAGCTGCTGAGCGGTCTGCCCACCCCCCGCCCCCAGTGGCTGTGAAGACGGAATGAGTGCTAACCTGCATTTGCCAAAACACAGAAAGCCAGGACCGAGGAGGCTGACGGCCAGGAGAGCCCAGCCCAGTGGGCTCCGCGCCCTCCTCCAGGCTGCCTTCCAGGCGTGCATCCGGGCAGGCAGGCGGGGAGGGAGGACGGGTTCGCCTGGCTCCCACAGCCGGCCAGCCCGCCTCCCTCGGCTCCTGGAGCCAGGTGGATCTGGGCGGGGTTTACCTGCCATCGGCCGCCGGCCGGGGAGGAAGGATCTGGAGGTTCCTGAGCGAGGAGTTGACGCCAAGGGGAGCGAGCCGCCAGCCGCCCCTCCGAGCCGCACCTGTCCCCCCTCCGCTCCGGCCGGCGCCAGTGCCAGAACCAGGTGAGAGGCGGAGCGAGAGGGCAGCCGCGGCCCAGCCCGGCTCCCGCAGGGCAGGGCGCTGGGCACGGACACGGACACGGACACGGACACGGGGTTTGGCACCGGGAGACTCGGGCGCACGCCCACCCCGGGGCCTCCTCCTGAGCAGCCGGCCGCCAGGCTCCCACTGTCCTGCCCCAGCACCCCACTGCCTGACCTCCCGTCCCCTCCTCAGCCCGTCCCTTCCTTCCCTGCAGACCTGCTCCCTGAGCGCCCCCCTCTGTCCCCCCCCTTCCCCCTCACACACCGAGGCCACCTGCCCCCCCTCCCTCGGGCCACCGGTTCCAGCTGGGGAGCGGAGGTGCAGATGCAGAGGCCGGGGCAGGGCGGTAGGAACTAGTTTCCTGTCCGCTCTTAGGGTCTGCCCCCCTCTTCTGGGAGGTTAGCAGGACCCCCCACGGAACACCCCAGTTCTCGGGGACCCCAGGTTCTCGGGGACCCCAGGCTGCCACCCCCACCGGTAAGCCCGCGTGGCCCAGGGCAGCCTGATCTCTGCTCCCTGATCCCCGTCACCCCTCCCTGTGGTCCAGGCCAGAGAGTGCACTCGGGGGGTCAGTGCCAGCACCCACCCCTGCCCCCGTTTTGTCCTGAGCGCCTCCCAGGGTTGAGAAGCTGCCCTGTGGGGCCCGTACGGATGGGCCAACCTGTCCGTGCACAGGGGCGGGGAGCCGGCAGCCGGGTGGGACCGCCTGGGTGCCGGAGCCGGAGCCGGCGCAGCGGGGTGAGGCCGGCCGGCCGGCCGGGCGGGAGGAGGGTTCGCCCGTGGAGTGCACAGGAGGTGGAGTGGAGCGGGAGCCGCAGGGCGAGGCGGGGGCGGGGGCGGGGGCGGCTGTGGCTTTGCCTGGGCTGGAGTTGGGGGGAGCCCTGGGAGGCTGGGGGGGGGGGACAGGGCCAGCTCTGGGTGCAGGAGGAGGCTGGGTCAGGCTCGTGGGGAGAGGGGGGTGGGTCTGGGAGAGGGAAGGAGCAGGATTTGAATTTTAACGAAATTTCTGAGTGACCTGGAGGCCGGTGTCCTCACCCAAAGTGGGGGCTTCTTTCCATTCTGTCTGCCAAGGACACCCCACCCGGGGGACCCCTACCCCTCCTCTCCTCACCCCGCCCGGGGGACCCCTCCTCTCCTCACCCCGCCCGGGGTGGGCCCTCCTCTCCTCACCCCGCCCGGGGATCCCCTCCTCTCCTCACCCCGCCCGGGGGACCCCTCCTCTCCTCACCCCGCCCGGGGGACCCCTCCTCTCCTCACCCCGCCCGGGGGACCCCTCCTCTCCTCACCCCGCCCGGGGTGGGCCCTCCTCTACACACACACACACACACACACACACACACACGCTTGCCCGGCCCAGGTGCCTGCGCAGCTGTAGGGACTGAGGGCGGGTAGCCAGCTGGACTGCAGGAGGGCCGGCTCCTCCCACTGACCAGAAGCAGCCCCCAGCGGGTGCGCCCCGAGATTCCCCACTGATAGGGTGCCGGGTATTTCCCAGGTTCCTCCGTCCCAGCTCCCACCCACCATCCCAGTCCTCTCTGAGCCTCACAGCCAAGCCCACGCCCAGGCGCGGGGTCTCCCCTCCGGCCTCAGTCAAGGTCAGGGGTCCCCTTCCTGGGTGAGGAGGGGGAGCAGCTAAGGAGGCTAACAGATGGTGTTCTAGAATGTTCTGCCTTTCTCTTCACCCCAAAACCCCCCACAACGATCCCTACTGCCTGTCTGTCTGCTGTAAACAAATTCCGGGGGAGCCGCCCGGGGGCTGCGAGATTAAGACCTTTGACTGTGAAGGTCTGTTCTTCCAATATTCATTTTTTTTTTTAATCTACTAGGCACTGGAAATGAAGACAAAAAAAAGAGAGAGAGAAAGAATAAGAGAAAGAAAGAAAGAAGGAAGGAAGGAAGGAAGGAAGGAAGGAAGGAAGGAAGGGTGTAGGACATGAGAAACGGGAGCCAAGGTGATGCTGGCAGAGTCAGAGAGAAGGAAGGGAAAAAACACAGATGAAGCCAGACAAGGACTTGACAAAGATAGAGACCATATTCTATTAAAAAAACAAACAACAACAACAACAACAAAAACTTCAACTGCCCTGGCCGGTTTGGCTCAGTGGATACAGCATCGGCCTGTGGACTGAAGGGTCCAGGGTTCGATTCCGGTCAAGGGCACCTGCCTGGGTTGTGGGCTTGATCCCTAGCGGGGGGGGGGGGGGGGGGGGGGGGGCGGCGCCAAGAGGCAGCCGATCCATGATTCTCTCTCATCATGAATGTTTCTCCCTCTCAAAAATCAATAAAAATATATTTTTAAAAATTCAGCTGAGTAAATGTATTGATTTGAGAGAGAGAGAGAGAGAGATGGAACATCAGTGATGAGAGAGAATCATCGATCTACACGTGTGCCCTGACTGGGAACAGAACCGGAACCACCTGGTTCATAGGTCAGTGCTCAACCTCTGGGCCACGCCTTGACCAGCCACGACCGCGCCGCGGCCACGCTGGCAGGCCGGCTGAGCGAATGATGAAGAGATCTTACTGGCTTTACCCGGGACTCCCGAGCAGGGCAGCGTCCGTCAAGCAGGTAGAAAGGAGGTCCGAGTAGCCACACCAAATGAGAGCCTTTATTTATAGGCAGAGAGGAGAGGCAGGGAAAGCTTTTCTAGGCAAAAAGTGGGCTGGTTGTGGCAAGGTCGCCTTCGGGGGGCAGGGAGGGGGGCAGGGGACCCGGGTTCCTAGCAGATTTCCGATGGACCCGCCTGGGATGCCGCTCCTGGCAGAAGCCGACTCTGGTCTCTGTTGGGTGACCTGGGCTGAGCGGGTATCTTCTTTGTAACCGTTCCCTCTGAAAATACGACCTGAGCACCTACTGTGTGCGGCTGAGACCTGCGCACCTACTATGCGCCCAGCCCAGTTTCCGAGACGGTGGGTGGGGGGGGTGCAGAGGACACCGTCCTTTCTTCACGGAGCTGTGAGACTGGGAGACACTGAGAGGGACTGATGGGGAAAGCGAGGACTGGGACGGGGGGGGGGGGGGAGCTGCCGGCATGACAGGAGGGGACAGTCCATCGGCCTGCCACCTTACTTCTCTCTGGCTCACTGCGTCTGGCAACCTGATGTCCCTCTATTCCTGTCTCTCTGACTCTCCCTGCCCCCCCCCCTCTCTATATATATATATATACATACACATACACACACACACACACACACACATATATATATATATATATATATATATATATTTCAGAGAGGATGGGAGAGAAAGAAACATCAATGATGGGAACGAATCATTGATCGGCTGCCTCCTGCACGCCCCCTACTGGGGATCAAGTTTGTAACCCAGGCATGTGCCCTTGACTGAAATCGAACCCGGGACCCTGCAGACTGTAGGCCCATATACTATCCACTGAGCCACACCGGTGAGGGCTGCCTCCTCCTTTTTAGTCATTCATGATTTTTTTTGTTTTTTTTAAAATATATTTTATTGATATTTCACAGAGAGGAGGAAGGGAGAGGGATAGAGAGCTAGAAACATCGATGAGAGAGAAACATTGACCAGCTGCCTTTTGCACACCCCCTACCGGGGATGTGCCCGCAACCAATGTACATGCCCTTGACCGGAATCGAACCTGGGACCTTTCAGTCCGCAGACCGACGCTCTACCACTGAGCCAAACCGGCTTCGGCTAGTCATTCATGTTGAAGGCCTCTCATATGTCCCCTTTTCCCCAATGGACCCCCTCTAGCCCGCCCCCCTACCCCCCTCTTTCCCTCTCAGTCTGTGTCTCCTGTTTCTCTCTCTTCTTGGCTCTGTCTCTTTCTCCCTTTCCTTATGTCGCTGAGTCCCTGCTCTTTCTCTTTTTCCATTTCTCTTCCCTCCCTCCCTCCCTCCTTCCCTCCCTTCCTCCCTCTCTCCTCTCCCCACTTCTGCCTTCCCACAGCCACTCCTTGGCCATGGTCCCATGTCCCTGGCAGATTAGGAGCCAAAAGCAGCCACGTTCACTCCTTTGTGAAGGGCCGGTCTCCTTGGAGAAAGGGAGAGCGAGGCCGGACGGGAGGTGGGAAGACAGCAGGCAGGCACCCTCGGGAGCTCTTCCTGCTCCCCGCCCGCTTCCTCCCGCTGCCCCGTCCGGTTCCTCTCCTCCCCACCCAGGTTCCCATGGAAGCCTGGAGAGAAGGGAGCCCGGAGGCCACCAGGCACATGTGATCCAGCTCTCTCTCTCTTTTAAAAATATGTTTTATTGGTTTAACAGAGAGGAAGGGAGAGGGATAGAGTTAGAAACATCGATGAGAGAGAAACGTCGACCAGCTGCCTCCTGCACCCCCTACTGGGGATGTGCCCTCAACCAAGGTACATGCCCCTGACAGGAATCGAACCTGGGACCCTTCAGTCCGTAGGCTGACACTCTATCCACTGAGCCAAACTGGTTAGGGCCAACCTCTTTAAAATATATATTATATATTTCAGAGAGGAAGGGAGAGGGAAAGAGAGAGAGAGCGACGTCAGTGCTAAAAGAGAATCACTGATTGGCTGCCTCCTGCCCACCTCACACTGGAGTCCGAGCCTGCAACCCGGGCCTGTGCCCTGACCGGGAATCGAACCGTGACCTCCTGGTTCATAGGCTGATGCTCAACCACTGAGCCTCTGAGCTGGCCGGCCGGGCTCTCTGTTTATCCTCAGGGCCGGCTCCTCTCGGCGTTCCCCTGGTTATCCTGGATGTGGCTTAGCGTGGCCGTCCGGCTGCCAGGCCTCCGGTGCACGTGCTTCTGTGCTTCTCCGCTAAGTCCCCAGGCAGAGGGTCTGCTGGGTGCAGCTTGTGCTCCCGAGTCAGGACACACACACACACACACACACACACACACACACACACGGCATGGGCGGCCAACGACGGGCCATTCTTAGGCCGATGTCATATGATATAGAATGGGCTGCATTTTAGTTTTTCCTGTTTTAATTCTCACCCGGGGCTATGTTTTTTATTGATTTCAGAGAGAGAAGAAGGGGGGGGGGGAGAGAAACATCGATTGGTTGCCTCCCACATGCACTCTGACCGGGGGTCAAACCTACAACCTGTGTGTGACTGGGAATGGAACCCGAAACTTTTGTGCGCAGCTGAGCTACCTTGCCAGGGCAGCCTTGGGGTGTTTGTGTGTTTAATATATAGAGGTCCCACTCCTGCCCTGGCCGGTGTGGCTCAGTGGCTAGAGCATTGACCTGGGAACTGAAAGGTCCCGGGTTCAATTCCGGTCAATGGCACATGCCTGGGTTGTGGGCTCAGGCCCCAGTGGGGGACTTGCAGGAGGCAGCTGATCCATGATTCTCTGTCACCATGGATGTTTCTGTCTCTACCTCTCCCTTCCTCTCTGAAATCAATAAAAATATATTTAAGAAATAAAATAAATAACTTTTAGAAAACAAAAATGAAGGTCCCACTCCTGTTGGGTCAGAGTACATCTCAGGGTGACCTCACTTGACTTGGTCACCCCTTAAAGACCTGTCTCCCAGTAAGGTCCCATTGGAAGTGCTGAGGGTTAGGATTTCTCTCTCTCTCTCTCTCTCTCTCTCTCTCTCCTCTCCCTCTCCCTCTCCCTCTCCCTCTCCCTCTCCCTCTCCCTCTCCCTCTCCCTCTCCCTCTCCCTCTCCCTCTCCCTCTCCCTCTCCCTCTCCCTCTCCCTCTCCCTCTCCCTCTCTCTCTCCCTCTCCCTCTCCCTCTCCCTCTCCCTCTCTTCTCTCTCTCTCTCTCTCTCTCCCCTCTTCTTTGTCTTTCCTCACCTGAGGATATTGTCCCCATTGCTTCTTAGAGAGTGAAAAGGAGAGGAAGACACAGAGAGAAACACGGATGGGAGAGAGACACAGGGAATGGGTGCCTCCCGCAGGCGCCACCGGTACACGCCCTTGACCAGGATCGAACCCAGGACCCTTCAGTCCATGGCCGACACTCTATCCACTGAGCCAACCCGCCAGGGCTCATATATCTTTCTTAAAGGAGCCCAATGCAGCCCATAATAGGCTGTAGCAAGGGTTGTGTGTGGGTGAGCAAAGTGTGCTACGTTAATACAGCCCACCCCTTGTTTGCCCATCACATACACTCTTCCATATCTTCAGCTCCATTAACTAACAAACAAACAAACAAAAATTGGCCCTGACCGATGTTGCTCAGTGGATAGTGTCAGCCTGCAGACTCAAGGGTCCCAGGTTCCATTCTGATCAAGGGCATGTCAGGAGTGTGCAGGAGGCAGCTGATGGGTGTTTCTCTCTCACCGATGTTTCTAACTCTCTCCCTCTCCCTTCATCTCTGTAAAAAATAAATTATATATATATTAAAAAGTAACCCTGGCCGGTTTGGCTCATGGATGGAGTGTTGACCTGCAGACTGAGGGGTCCCGGGTTTGATTCTGGTCAAGGACACATGCCCGGGCTGAGGGCTCAGTCCCCAATTCGGGACGCGCGGAGGCAGCCGATTGGTGATTGTCTCTGATTGATGTTTCTACCTCTCCCTCCCCTTTCCTCTCTGAAATCAATTTAAAAAAATTATATATATAAATATATTTTAAAGGCAGTCAGCCTGGCCCAGTGGCTCCACTGGTTGAGTGTCCCACGCACCAAAGGTCGCCTGCTTGGTTCCCAGTCAGGGCACACGCCTGGGTCATGGGTGTGATCCCCGGTCCGGGTGGGTACGGAGGCAGCTAATGGATGTTTCTCTCTGGCATCAATCTTTCTATCTCCATCTCTCTCTCTCCGTTTCTAAAATCAATTTTTTAAGACGTAATTTAAAGAATATCAGACGTCAACCATGGCGGGTGGGACCACGGATGCGCTCATCCACCCCCGAGGGACAAACCCCAAGGTCAGCTCTGTCCATGGCCGCCGCCTCCGGTGACACGGGGCTGCCCGGCGGGTCCCCGAGGTCACAGCCTCCGAACGAGACGGTTGCTCCTCCCTGCCCGCCCCTCCGAGCCTCCTCCCAGTTCTGCCTGCCGCGTGGTGGGCAGGCCAGATGGACCAGGAGCAAAATGCCGACATGAAAAGCGGGAACCACCCCACCCTGTCCTTGGCCCAGAGCCCGTACAGAACGCGCCCTTTGCTTCGTCGGCGGTAATATAAAACACCTGCACCGCCCTGGCCGGTGTGGCTCAGTGGATAGAGTATGGATCGGCCTACACTGCCCTACAGACTCAAAGGTCCCAGGTTGGATTCTAGTCAAGGGCATGCACCTTGCTTGCGGGCACATCCCCAGTGGGGGGGTGGGGGAGAGGGTAGGAGGCAGCCGATCCATGATTCTCTCTTATTGTGGATGATTCTCTCTCTCTCCCCCTTTCTTCCTCTTTGAAATCAATAAAAATATATTTTTTAAAAACACAAAACCTACGGCACGTGTATTGCCGGGCACCGATTCACGCCTCAGAGAGGCGAAGTCTCAGCCTAGAATCAGCGGGCGAGGGGGGCAGCCCGGCGCCGGCCCCTGGGGCCGTGGGGGCTAACGGGTGGTGTCATGCTCAGCTCCTGGGGTTCTCTGCGACCCCTGGGCCCCAGCTGCCGTTCTGCTGAGGATTCCGGGGCGTCTGTTCAGGTGCCTCATGGTTCCGGCTCCCTCTGCTTCAGCCTGTGCTGTCCGGCCGCCCTGCGCGGTCTCGGCGAAGGAAAGGCGTTTGGTCTTTGAGCCCGGCTCCCGCACAGCTCGTAAAAGCATCGGCATTTCCTGAGTCATAAGGGCGATAGGAGTGTTTTTTTGTTTGTTTGATACGTGGACTCTAGACTTAGGATGGGGTCAGGTCAACGGAAAAACCAAGCCTTGCCGGAACCGGTTTGGCTCAATGGAGAGAGCGTCGGCCTGCAGACTGAAAGGTCCCGGGTTCGATTCCGGTCAGGGGCATGTGCCTTGGTTGCGGGCACATCCCCAGTGGGGGGTGTGCAGGAGGCAGCTGAAGGATGTTTCTCTCTCATTGGTGTTTCTAGCTCTCTATCCTTCTCCCTTCCTCTCTGTAAAAAATCAATAAAACATATGGGGAGGGGAGAAGTGAAAGAGAGAGACAGAAATGTGGGTGTGAGAAACACATGGATTGGTTGCCTCCCACACAGATGGAGCCTGCAGCCGAGGTATGTGCCCTTGGCCAGAACTGAACCTGATACCATTCAGCCTGCAGGCCGACGCTCTATCAACCTGGCCCGGGGCTTCTGATCAGTGTCTGAAGTGGACAGTCTGGTGTAGGGGTGTCGAACTCAATCAGAGAAGGGGCCAAAATCTAAAATCCAGCCTAAATCGCGGGCCGAATGGTTTACTGAACAGTCATAAACTGTCATTGTGATGGAAACGCAGCGGAGTGCAGTGATGACAGCGCGGTGCGGGCCACATTGCAAGGCCTGGCGGGACGGATTTGGCCCGCGGGCCTTGTGTTTGACACATGTGGTCTGGTGGAACGGCGCTCTCTGATCTGATAGGAGCTCTGGCAGATAGGGTCCGAACTGAACTGGATTGTTGGACACCCCGTTGGTATCCGGAGTGCAGGGGGGGGGGGATCCTCTCATGGGCCTTCTGAGCCTTTAGTAAAAATTCCCGATAGCCCTGGCTGATTTGGCTCGGTGGACAGAGCGTCGGCCTGCGGACTGAAGGGTCCCAGGTTCAATTCTGGTCAAAGGCACATACCCAGGTTGTGGGCTCGATCCCCAGAGGGGTAATGCAGGAGGCAGCTGGTCAATGGTTCTCTCTCATCATTGATGTTTCGATCTCTCTCCCTCTTCCTTCCTCTCTGAAATCAATAAAAATATAGTTTAAAAAACTGGCCAGGCCATCTCACAGAGCCACAGGCCACAGTCACTGATGGAGGAGCCGGTGGAGGCAGCGTATGCCCGTCTCAGGCTCGGCCTGCTGTGTCCGGAGGGCGGCCAGGCCTGGCGATGGCCCTTCAAAGGGGATGAGGACGGCCGGGCCTGCAAAGACAGGCGTCTCTAGGAGCGGGATCTTCAGCAAATAGAGGTTCATAGACATGTACGTGCACACACAGACACCCCCGTGGGTATACCCACAGGCAATAAACACAAGTAAACCGACAATAAAGATGCACATAACCTATGTCCACTCACATCTATACACTCACATAGTCCCGTGGTCGGCAAACCGCGGCTCGCGAGCCACATGCGGCTCTTTGGCCCCTTGAGTGTGGCTCTCCCACAAAATACCACGGCCTGGGCGAGTCTATGTTGAAGAAGTGGCGTTAGAAGATTAGGTTTAAGAAGTTTGGGCTCTCAGAAGAAATTTCAATCGCTGTGCTGTTGATGTTTGGCTCTGTTGACTGATGAGTTATACCAGTGGTCGGCAAACTCATTAAAGTTCTTCAAAATGAAGGGTCCGAAGGGTCTCGGGTTCGATTCCGGCCAAGGGCACATGCCCGGGTTGCAGGCGCGATCCCCAGTGGGGGGTGTGCAGGAGACAGCCAATCCGTGATTCTCTCTCATCATAGATGTTTCTCTTTTTTTCACTTTTATTTTACTTTATTGTTGGAAGCATTACAAATAGTAATACATATGTCTCCTTCCCCCCCCCTTAACCTCCGCCCAGCCTGCCCTACCCCCCAGCATATGCCTTCACCTTCCCCCCTCCCGCCCCCAGTGTCTTGTAACCATTGGTTATGCCTATATGCATACATACAGCCCCCCCAACCTCTCCTCCTCATAGATGTTTCTGTCTCTCTCCCTGTCCCTTCCTCTCCGAAATCAATACACACACACCCAGGCACGCCCACCCACAGCCCACCCCGTGCGCCAGGCGCCCGCAGCCCCAGCGCCCAGCCCGCTAACCTTCCCTCTCTCCCGCCCACAGCCATGCCCCGCACCCAGGGGCCCTTCTTCTTCCCCATGGCCCACTTCGTCCTCTTTGTCTTCACGGCCTCCACCATCTTCCACCTTCAGCAGCGGCTGGTGAGGATCCAGCCCCTGCCGGCCGCCGAGAGGCTGGTGCCCGTGGAACCTGAGGACAACGCCTCCAGCGCCCCGAGTGCCGCGAACGCCCGGAGCACCCAGATCACCCCAAGCGTCCCGAGCACCCCGATCGCCAGGAGTCCCCCGAGTGCACCGAGCGCCCTGAGCACCCGGATCACCCCGAGCGTCCTGAGCACCCGGATCACCCCAAGCGTCCTGAGCACCCCAAGCACCCCAAGCGTCCGGAGCACCGCGCCCCGGGGCATGTGGACCATCAACGCCATCGGCCGCCTGGGCAACCAGATGGGCGAGTACGCCACGCTGTACGCGCTGGCCAGGCTGAACGGGCGGCCGGCCTTCATCCCCGCCGAGATGCACAGCACGCTGGCGCCGCTCTTCCGCATCTCCCTCCCGGTGCTGCCGGCCGCCGCGGCCCGCGGGCTGCCCTGGCTCAACTACCCGCTCCACGACTGGATGGAGGAGCGGTACCGCCACATCCCCGGCGAGTACGTGCGCCTCACGGGCTACCCCTGCTCCTGGACCTTCTACCACCACCTGCGCGCCGACATCCTGCGCGAGTTCGCGCTGCACGACCACGTGCGCGAGGGGGCGCAGGCGTACCTGCGCGGTCTGCGCGTGCGCGGGCGCCGCCCCGCCACGTACGTGGGCGTGCACGTGCGCCGCGGGGACTACGTGCGCGTCATGCCGCAAGTGTGGAAGGGCGTGGTGGCCGACCGCGCCTACCTGCAGGCGGCGCTGGACCGCTTCCGGGCCCGGCACGCGTCCCCCGTGTTCGTGGTCACCAGCAACGACATGGCCTGGTGCCGCGAGAACATCGACGCGTCCCGCGGGGACGTGGTGTTCGCGGGCGACGGCGTGGAGGGCTCGCCGGCCAAGGACTTCGCGCTGCTCACGCAGTGCAATCACACCGTCATGACCATCGGCACGTTCGGCATCTGGGCGGCCTACCTGGCCGGCGGGGAGACCGTGTACCTGGCCAACTACACGCTCCCGGACTCGCCCTTCCTCAAGGTCTTCCGGCCGGAGGCCGCCTTCCTGCCCGAGTGGTTTGGGATCGCCGCCGACCTGTCCCCGCTGCTCAAGCCCTGAGCCCGGCCCGCCCCGGGCACCCCCGCTCCTGGCTCCTGGCTCCCCCGAGACCAGATCCGCGCCTGTGGGGTGAGCGCCCCGTGGCCTGGGCCAGGACCCTTCCCTCTCACAGCAGAGGACTTCCGGCCACCGCCAGGGGGCGTCCCAGCAAACGTGTTTAACCTCGTCACGTGGCCAGAGGTGGCACAGGCCCCGGGCCAGCAGCTGACAATGTCACCGGTGCCCTGCTTCTACCCCTTCATCTGTTATTGGACGGGAGAGAGATACAGCAAGTTGTTGTTCCTCTTGTGTATGTATTCATACACAAGAGGAACAACAACTTCTTTTTATTTTTTATTTTATTTTATTTTTAAATATATTTTTATTGATTTCAAATAGGGAGAGGAAGAGAGAGAGAGAAGCATCAATGATGAGAGAGAATCATTTGATTGGCTGCCTCCTGCATGCCCCCCACTGGGGATCCAGCCCTGTAACCCGGGCATGTGCCCTTGGCAGGAATCAAACCCGGGACCCTTCAGTCCACAGGCCAATGCTCTACTCACTGAGCCAAACAGGTTAGGGCGGTTGCTTCTTTTTAAAGAAATATATTTTTTATTGCTTTTGAGAGAGAAGCATTGATGTGAGAGAGCAGCATTGATCAGCTGCCTCCTGCACATCCCCTTACCAGGGATCAAGCTCCCAGTCCAGGCATGTGCTCTCACCCAGAATCACACCAGCAACCTTTTGGTGCACAGGATGACACCCAACCAACTGAGCCACACCAGCCACCCCCATTGGCCGCTTTCTGTCCGTGCTCCAGACTGGGGATCAAACCCGAGACCTTGGTGTATTGAGGACGATGCTCTAACCACCTGAGCCACCCAGCCAGGGCCCAGTTCCAGCCATCGCAGTGAGCTGCCTTCATCTTCTCTCAGGCCGACTCCCTCATGGTCCCAAGAGGACTGCCACACGCCCAGGACGGCCGCCTGCAGACACCCTCTTCCTGAGGCCGCGAGAGCAGGCTCATTCCCGTCTTGGGTCCCTTCGGAAGAGGGCGGAGGACCTGCCGAAGCCGCCTCCGGCAACTCGGTGCCCCTCAACGCGACAGACCCTCCTGGCTCACTGACCAGAGGGTGTCCCGGGTCCACGGGTGAGGGACTCCTGGGATCGGCCTAACCTCGCCTCCCTGAGCCGTGGCCACCGCAGCCGAGGATTTTGGTCTGCCTTCCGAAGGACGTGGCTGCCGGCAGGAAGACATGGCGCGCTCTCACCAAGGAAGAGGGAGGAACGGGCTGCCGAGAACAAAGCCGGGAAGCCCTCGACCATTGTGCCCACTGCTCACTGCACAAGGGCTCGGCCAAGAAGACAAGTGGGCCTTGGCGAGAGCCCGCCGGGTGCTCTCCAAGCCGGGCGTCCTGGGACCATGCCTACCCAGGGGGCTCTTTTTTCTTCTTCTAGTTAGTCTGCCCTGAGGGAGAACCTGTCTTCCAGTTCTCACAAGAGTGACATGCTGGCAAGACCAGGGAGCCTAAGGCCCAGGGCGATGACTGTTGAGAACTCTGAGACCAGCATGGCTCCGTGGCCTGGAGGGGAGTCCATGCATCCTCTCAGTACACCTTTGTGACGGTGAGCCTTCACGGACAGGGTCCCCGCTCTCCGGGGTGCGATAGCAAAGCATAGTGGCCTTCAATGACGACGGCCATGTTTTATTCCCCACAATCCTGTGGGCCAGCCCGGGGTCCTCGGCGCCGGGCGATGTTGGCCGAGGTCTCTCCCACGCAGCTGCATTAGGTGGAGTTCGGCGAGAGCCTCTTGAGCTCAGCGTGGCCAGTCCTGCAGGGTAGCATGGTCTTCCTCACCACACAGCTTTCCGCGTGTTTGCTAGAACGTTCACTGGTGGGGCCCTCGTCGTCATCATCATCGTCATGTAAGAAATCCAACTGCCGGAAGCCGCCATACTGTGAGGAAGCCTAGTGTCCCTGGGAGGCTACAGGCAGGTGTTCTGGTTCACAGTATCAGCTGAGCCCAACATCAAGTCAACGCCCTGCAGGCATCAGATATGTTCATGAAGGCGCCTGTCGATGCTTCCACCGTTGTTCCAATCAGATTATCGCTTTTAGGGACCCAGTCAGGCTCCTGATCTTGTGTTACAGGGATAAGCCATATCTAACCGCCTGACTCCCAGATTCTGGGAACATCATATGGCGGTGTTCCGCCAGTAAGGGTCGAGGCCGTCTAACAGGCTGCCGTAGATGATGGGAACACACAGAACCATCGAGTCTCTTGTTTGCAGATCCTTGATGGCTTTGACATGAATGTGGCCAACATGAACTTCCCCCTCTGGCTGGGGATTCCATGTGCACATGTCCTGTGGCAGCAGGGAGTCTAGCTACACAGGAGAGAGAAAAGAGGCCAGTGGCTAGAGCACATGGAGCCGGATGTGGACGGGAACCTGAGCAGGGCCAGGCCCTTTGAGACCTGTGTGTGCTGATGAGGACTTTGGGTTTCTTCTAGGACCAGCTGGAAATACCAGAGGGTTTTAATCATGGAAGGCACTGTTGTGGAGAGAACACGAGTGAACGACCACTGGAGTCCAGACCAAATTAAAATTTAGGGAGCCTTTATTAGCCGGCCAGCGACTGCTCTGCCTTTCTCCACGCAGGGAGTCCAGAGAGCAGCCCCGACCCTTTGTGCAGGACCGCTTTTAAGCACATTAACCACATGTTGTTCTTGCAGAGCAAGTAACCCAAGACAAAACAGTTTTTCCCAAGCCACGTCAGAGTTGTGCCATTGACGGCCATGTTGTTCACAGGGTCATCCTGTTCTTCAGAAAGCTGGCCGTGTTCTGTGAAAGAAGGCCTACGTGCTGGGAAGGGGCCATGAGGCCCTATCTCAAGGCCTGGCCCGGTGTCAGCACCGACAACTCTGTCCGGGCCTAGTCCCCAGCCTCTCTGGAATGGGGCCTGCTCAAAAATCCCCACTCCCCAAGGGACACGATCGGATTTCCCTGGTGTGAACAGACCCGGCCTCTGTGGAGAAGAGGCTGTGGGGCGAAGGCAGGAAAAGGCAAAGAGGCCAACGAGAAGGCCGTGGCAGCTTTCCCGGCAAGTGACCGTGGCGGGCCACGGAGAGAGCGGTGGAACAGAGACAAGCCTCGCTTCAAGGACCCGAGAGAGGCTCTCGGTGTCTCTGTCAGTTTCCCTTTCCTGAAAGGGACCGTCGGATCGCCTCGGCCGGGTGGATGTCCGAGTCCAGCATCGGCCGGGAGCCCCTTCGCGGGGGCCGTGGGGAAGGCTCACCGAAAACACGTGGCGGCCACGTCTGGTCCCGGGGAAGGAGCGGGAGGGTGTGAAGAGTGGGAAGATGCTCCAGCATGGGGACTCGGGGCGGGAGGGGTGGGAGGAGGGAGGTGAGCTGCTCACACTGCAGCGGCTGCAGCAGGCCCGGAGGCCACACCCGGCTTCAGAGAGGACCAGCAAGAGGAACCCGTCCACACGCCCACAGTGTTCGTGCCCCAGTGACTACCTCACAGCTCCTCCCGGGCGCACGGCCCTCTGGGAGTTCTCCTGGGGCCTCTTCCTTCCTTCCTACCTGTTTTCCCTTTTTTTTTTTTTTTTTTTTTTTTAAGTTGACTACAGAGCCTAACTGGTTTGCCTCAGTGGATAGAGCGTCGGCCTGTGGACTTAAGGGTCCCAGGTTCGATTCTGGTCAAGGGCATGTACCTTGGTTGCGGGCACATCCCCAGTGGGGGGTGTGCAGGAGGCAGCTGACCAATGTTTCTCTCTCATCGATGTTTCTAACCATCTATCCCTCTCTCTTCCTCTCTGTAAAAACCAGTGAAGTATATATATATTTTTAAATTGACTATAAAGAGAGAGGAAGGGAGAGACAAAAAGAGAGAGAGAAACACTGGTTTGTTGCTCCACTTATTTGTGCCTTCATTGGTCGATTCCTGTCTGTGCCCTGACGGGGGATTGAACCCAAAACCTTGGCAAATCAGGATGACCTCTAAGCAACGGAGCTGCCCGGCCAGGCCTGGGACTCCTTTCCTTGGGCTTGGTGCCCGCAGAGCGGGGTGCCACCTTACTAGGCCAACAGGCTCTGTCTCAATTACTATTTAAGTAATCCTCTTTCAAATTTCCAGTCTTATTTTACTTCTATTTTTTATAATATGTTATTGTTTTAAATATATATTTTCATTGATTTCAGAGAGGAAGGGAGAGGAAGAGGGAGATAGAAACATCAATGATGAGAGAGAAGCATTGATCGGCTGCCTCCTGCATGCCCCCCCCCTGGGGATGGAGCCTGAAAACCAGGTCTGTGCCCTTGACTGGAATTGAACCCAGGACTTTTCAGTCTCTAGGCTGACCGACGCTCTATCCACTGAGCCAAACCAGCGAGGGCTTAAAATATGATTTTATTGATTCTAGAGATAGAGGAAGAGAGAGAGAAACATTGATTGCTACCTCTTACGCGCCCCCAACTGGGGATCGAACCTGAAGCCCAGGCATGTGCCCTGGCCAGGACTCAGACTGGTGACTTCCTGGTGCAGGGACAGCGCCAGCCTGCTGAGCCGCACAGGCCGGCTTCTAGTCTCACTTTGTACAGATCGAGTGCGTGGTCGTCAGTGGACCAGGTTTTGCCACTAAAGACAATCAATCCAACGTTAACTTATTAGCTTGCATTCTCTCTCTTTTTAATGTATGTTTTTAAATGTGTTCTACATGCTTCTAAACTAAACAGTGTCATGGCTGGGGTAGTTTCCAGAGACAGCCATGACGACATCTCGCCGGATTCTAACCCCTCAGACCTTCCCCTGCCCACCCCCATTTCACTACCCTTTCCCTTCCGCCAGAAACTTGAACTTCCCCGAGATGCCTTCTTGCACATTCCACCCGCCAGCAAGTTGTGTGGGCTTTGCCTGCAGTACACACCCTGACCTCGCTTCCCTGCTCTGCCATCGCCCTTCAGCCCGTCTGTCTTCCTCTCTCTCCCTCTCCTCCTCTCTCCACCTCCTCCTCTCTCTCCCCCTCCTCCTCTCTCTCCCTCTCCTCTCTCTCCCCTTCCTCTCTCCCTCATTCTCCCCCTCTCTCTCTCTCCTCTCCCCCCCTCCCCTCCCCCCCTCTCTCTCTAGCCCTCTCTCCCTTTCCCCCTGCCGCCACTCCTCCTCTCCTCCCTCGCTCCGCCCTCCTCTCTCACCCTCCTCTCCGCCCCGCC